TGTATGAAGACCCCATCAAGACCCAGACGGCTACCCGGCGTTTGAAGGCTCTGAGGCAAGGCCGACGCCCCCTGCAGGGCTATATCAGCGAATTTCGGCTGCTTAGCCAGGATTCAGCCTGGAATGAGGCTGCGCTTGTGGACGCTTTCCAGGATGGGTTGTCGGAGGAGATGCTGGATGAGCTGGCCCATGTTGATATTCCCCCAGACCTTACTGGGAGAAGGGCGGCATATAAATTTTGTAAAATAAATAAATAAATTCATCTCTGACTGCGGATCGACGCCCGGCTGCAGCAGCGAAGGAGTCGCCGTGCCATCCCAGAGACCCGTATGGCCCCCGTTGTGAGTGCGACCCCGGTCCAGAGGGAGGAGCCAATGGAGTTAGGTGCTGCCAGACCTCGTCTATCGTTGGCAGAGATGAACAGGCGACATTCGGGGGGGTTGTTTTTACTGTGGGGACCCTGGGCATTTGGCCGCTTTCTGCCCCAAGAAGCGACGAGGGCCGTCTGTGACGGAGCCTGTCCCGAGACTGCCATCTGCTCCCCTGTCGGGAAACAGCACACGCCTGACCTGAAAGGCCTTTTGGGTCGGGCGTCCCGCACCTCCGAGCCACACCCTTCTGATGCTGCCCACGGACCCCCAAAACATTTGATCTTGGAGGCGCGTCTGATTCTTCTTAAGTTGCCCAAGGGGATTCCTGTCCATACGTTGATTGACTCTGGGGCCACTACAAACTTTATAGACGCAGCATTCGTGGCTCAATGGGCGATTCCCCAATGCCCCGTGGATCCCCCGATGTTAGTGGAGACCATTGATGGTCGAGTGCTTCAGTCTGGGCCAATTACGGCTGCCACGCAACCACTATGTATGGCCATCAGTACCCATGAGAAGGCCATCCAGTTTTATATCACCTCAGACCTGCATTTCCCTGTGGTTTTGGGAATGGCGTGGCTTCAAGCGCATGACCCACAGATTTATTGGTCACAGAACTTGGTCACCTTTCCAAGCTTGCAGTGCGTGGACCACACCCGCCACATCTGTGCCGGTCAGGTAGAGGGGCCCATGGGGGTCTCCTTACCCTCTGAATTGGCGGATTATGCTGATGTGTTCAGCGAGTCAGAGGCAGATCAATTGCCCCCGCACAGGCCCTATGACTGCCCCATTGACTTAGTCCCTGATGCGCCTCTCCCAGGGGGGCGTTTGTATTCCATGTCGGACCCAGAGTTGGCCGCATTGCGGGACTTTTTGGACAAGAATTTGGCCCGGGGTTTTATTCGGCCCTCGTCCTCACCGGTGTCCGCACCCGTACTCTTCGTCAAGAAAAAGTCCGGTGAATTGCGGCTGTGTTGTGATTATCGGAAATTGAATGCCATCACGGTGCGCAACCGATACCCGCTGCCCCTCATCCCCGAACTCTTGGACCAGCTCCGTGAGGCAAAGCTCTTCACAAAACTGGACTTGCGTGGAGCTTATAACCTTGTCAGAGTTCGGTCGGGTGATGAGTGGAAGACGGCGTTTGGTACTCGGTATGGGCACTTTGAGTACACGGTGATGCCATTTGGCCTGACTAACGCCCCTGCCGTTTTCCAGCACTTTATGAACGATATTTTCCGGGACTTGTTAGATCAGTTTGTTGTGATATACCTGGACGACATCCTGATCTATTCCTCATCGCGAGAGGTGCATCATCAGCATCTTCGTCAGGTCCTGCAGCGGCTCCGAGAACATCGGCTGTA